AAATGCAGAGGCGTCTAAACTTAGCAATTCTGAAGGCCGTTGTGTCAGTCGAGTACAAACTGGGCTCCGGCATAAGACTTTAGAAATTTATTTTGTCATGACACCAATAAAGGCACTTTGCGCAAAGCTGTGAATACCCGGCCTGACGTCAGGACTAAAAAACTATGCCAGAAAGCGTACAGATCGTATAATCCCGTTGCTGAGATTGTCTTTCACAGATAAGACGTGGGCATACGATATGATAAAGTACGACTAAATGTAAAAACTTGCCACAACATCACTGTTCTTCAGGGAGTTCACATAGATATATGTGTTTTAAGCGTCCAATTCGATGACGCAGCAATAAACGACAGTGCAAAACAATACAGCCAGTCACAAGGAATTACTTCCCTTATCACAGATTCTGCATTAGTGAACAACTTGGTTTCGCTCTAGCACTGAAGAACAGTAAAATTTGAAAATTTACCGTTCTCTACTGATTAAATAGGCTTATCAACGTGTCCTACGTTGCATAAGAAACAAATCGATAATTCAAATGAAATAAAGACCATAAATATTACAAATGAATATTGATAACACTGAAACGGCAAAAATGAACTGTATAAATAAAAAATCTATTTTGTACCCTACAGGACACTGGCATTAGTGTAAAAATGATGTCTTACACCGGGATGTACCGTCATACTGCACCGCCCCCTTGCTTCTGGCCGTCTAGGAGATACGTTTAGGCAGGCCACTGCACAATATTTAAGCTCCTGTAGTGCACAGGACGCAAGATCGTGCCTCTGAGATGGGCTGAACAAAGGCGTATTCAAGTCCAAACAAGGCTGTCACTATGCATGAATAATGACAAAATATAACCACTATATTGAGGGATAGATTCCACTAGTAAAAGCAATACCAGTAATTAATCTAATAAATGACTATTACCTTAAAAATTCTTTTATCTACCATTCATTTTATTCGTAGCTGTTCATCTCCCTATTCATCCATCCAATCACCTCCCTACACATCCGCCCATTCATCTCTGGATTAACCCATCGATTGGCATACATATCTATACATTATTAGATCCTTACATGCCTTTTAAACTCTTGCTCGATCTATCAGATGTGGTGACAGTGTAAAAGGTCGGCTTCGAAGCCGAATTATGGAGGATCCGAGTTCGATTAGCAGGGCGAGCAACCTTTTACTTTACATACATACATACACACACACACACATATATATATATATATATCAGAACTGCAACTAAAAAAGGAAATTTTGTTTGTTAGTCCGCAGTTCGTTAGATCCGGTTCCGTTCAATCCAGGAAATACTGTATTCGGCCTGTTTGTCTATCCTTCTACCTATCTCTCTACCTGTTAGTTTATCTGTCTGCCTCTCAAATTATTTTTTTGCGGCTGGAACTTTGTGCTGATCTTCAGTGAACCCTAGGTAGGTCAAGTAGAACTGCATTATGATGAATGACCATAACTCTTACCTGTTTTGGTACTATCACACAGAACACGATGTTGCCCCTGATGTTTGCATGAACAATTTGCTACCCGTTTTTCGGCTGGTATCACCAACGCACAGTAGGCTAAATTCCTCGGTACAGTAATTACCACCTGTAATAATAAAACTGATTTAATGCTGAATCAATCAATCTCACTACACATCCAATCTATCATCCATCGATCTAGATCTCCGTCAATTTATCTTACGGTACACCCATTTCATTGTCAAAAAATTTATTCTTTTTATCAATGTCCACCCACATACACATGCATCTCTGTCTGACAATCTGTCTATTAGGCTGCAAATCTGTCTGCCTTTAAATCTTTCCGTCATTCTCTCCGTACATATCCACTTATCTATCCGAACATCCATCTGTCCATTTAGTAATCCATCCGTGTCTGTTTATATGTCGATTAGTGTATCTGTGTAAGACTACCTTTCAATTTAACCATTTATTTCTCCATCTCTTCATTATCTTATATTTATCGATTTACCCAATGTCTGTATGATTTTCTGTTCATTTCATGACGTAATCGATATAATATTCTATAGATCTTTCCCTAAGCCTTCGTGGTATTGTCAGCACCATATATACTCCTGCATTCTTTTGACGAGGATAAAATATCAGTTTCATTTCGCGCAATGAAATGAAATATAATCTAATTAGCAGCGGAGAGGAAGTAATACAGCATTAAGAGCACTTACACATTGTCTCATGACCTTGTGTTATTTTAGTGATGTTATGCACATCAATGTGTGTGGGCGTGATGGTGGGGATCTGCTGCCTCTTCTCTTGGCATAATCTGCTGCTGATTAACCAACAGAATTCGTTTAGCATCACCTAGGTGTCTTTCTTAGGTTGCAGCAATCCCGTAACACTGCCTTCGCCGCACAGTCGTTATCCATTTTCCTTGAACACCAAAATGTGTTAATGTTCTTTCTCTCTTGCTCCCCTGCATGTTTCTGATGATCGTATGTCAAACTTCAACTGTTCCGCACTCATTTGTTGATTCAGGCTTCCTGCCAAGATCCGTGGAAGAATCGTCTGTAATATGTTTGACATTTTCAAAGAGCTTACTTCTGCCTAGTTGATAGTCAAGTTTAAATGACACTTCCACAATTTGCCACAGACCACAAAAATTTGTCACAAGTTTCAGCTAGACGAAAATCCGAATAATGCAACACCAATAAACTCAGGTCATTCTATATATACTGGAAGTCTTTAAATCCGTAAAACTGCTCACGTAGTTAACACTTGCTTCTGGATGAGGTCAATGTAGTTTTAATGTGGGGAAGGAGTATAAAAAAAATCATACAATAATATTATCTGTACATAGGCTACTTAGTTCGGCTAACAGTAACTGCAGTTCATGGACACTGCTCCATCGACGTAGAACCAGACCATCAGAAAAGTCTCCTAAGCTTGCTGCTCCTGCAACTCCAGAGAAACAGCGGGCTGCGGAAATGAACCAATGAATATTACCTGGAAAACTCAACACAGAAGAAAATGTAGCTTTCTTCTTCTTCTTCTTCCATCGCCGCTTCTTCTTTCGGGTCGCGGAGACAGACGCGTCAGACAGTGCTTCCAACGTTCCCGATCCTATGCCAGAGTCTCAGCTTCGGCAAAAGACAAATGCAGTCTGGAACAGACTCCTTCTATATCTATGCACCAGGTTAATCTTGGCCCTCCCGTGGGCCTTTTGCCGGTTGGATTTGCAAGGAACAGCTGCTTAGCCACCCTTTCTGGAGGCATTCGCAATACATGCCCAAGCCATCGCAGCTGTGACTTCTCAATCTGGAGAAGCAAA